TGTGTCCCAAAAGTTCTGGTAAGATGTGTTTTCATTCTCATTTGAGTCTATGAATTTCTTTATTCCATGCTTAATTTCTTCTATAACCCAGTAGTTTTGAGCAAGATGTTGTTCAGTTTCCATGTGCTGGATTTTTTCCTTGCTTTTTGTGCTGTTGATTTCTACTTTTATGGCTTTATGGTCAGAAAAGATGCTTTGTAATATTTCAATGTGTTGGGTTTTGTTAAGCCTTGCTTTATGGCCTAATATGTGGTCTGTTCTGGAAAATGTTCCATGTGCCTTGGAAAAGAAAGTATACTTGGCTGCTGTTGGGTGGAGTGTTCGGTATATGTCTATGACATCAAGTTGGTTGATTGTAGCATTTAGATCTTCCATGTCTTTGTTGAGCTGCTTTCTGGATGCTCTGTCCTTCACAGAAAGTGGTGTGTGGATGTCTCCTACTACTATTGTGGAGCTGTCTATCTCTGTTTTCAGTGCTGTTAGAGTTTGTTTTATGTATTCTGGAGCCCTGTCATTGTGTGCATAAATATTTATCATAGTTATGTCCTCCTGGTGTACTGATCCTTTAATCATTATATAGTGTCCTTCCTTATCCTTTGTGGTGGATTGTACTTTAAAGTCTGTCTTCTCAGAGATTAATATTGCCACTTCTGCTCTTTTCTGAGTGTTGTTTGCTTAAAAAAATTTTTCCATCCTTTGTGTTTTAGTTTGTTTGTGTCTTCAAGTCTAAGGTGTGTCTCCTGTAGGCAGCATATAGACGAATCATGTTTTTTTATCCAATCTGCCACTGTCTGTCTCTTTATTGGTGCATTTAGTCTATTTACATTCAGCATAATTATTGAAAGGTATGAGTTTAGTGCTGTCATTTTGATGCCTTTTTTTGTGTGTCATTGACAGTTTCTTTGTTCCCCTTAATTTTCTATGCTGAGTCATTTTCTTTATGTATTTTCTTTTCACCTTTTTCATTGTCATTGATTTTGTATTTGCTGAGTCTTTATGTTTTTCTTGTTTTTTATTTTTATGTGTAGGATTGTTAGTTTCCTTTGTGGTTACCTTAATATTTACCCCTAGTTTTCTAATTTTATACCAACATTTTATTTGTTGATGTTGCCTTGACTTCTTGTCCATATGAAAAATCTATGTCTACATTTTTCAGTCCTTCTTTTTTGTTTTAATGTTGTCATCTTTTACATATTGACATCTGTTTCCCTATTTTCAGTGTTTTAGCTTTGATTTATTTTTGTAACTTCCCTATCTGGGTTGATATCTGGTTGCTTTGTCCTGTGTTCTAGTCTTGGGTTGTTATCTGATGTTATGATTTTCTAACTGGAGGACTCCCTTTAGTATTTCTTGTCATTTTGGTTAGGTTTTTGCAAATTCCCTCAACTTCTGCTTATCTAGAAATGCCCTAATTTCACCATCATATTTGAGAGACAGTTTTGCTGGATATATAATCCTTGGATGGCAATTGTTTTCCTTCAAGTCTTTACATATGTCATCCCATTGCCTTCTAGCCTGCATGGTTTCTGCTGAGTAGTCCAAACTTAATGTTACTGACTCTCCATTGTAGATGACTTTTTGCTTATCCCTAGCTGCTCTTGTAATTTTCTCTTTATCTTTGGTTTTGTAAGTTTTATTATAATATGTCTTGGTGACTTTTTTTGGGATCTACCTTATGTGGGGTTTGATGAGCATCTTGGATAGATAGCTTCTCATCTTTCACAATATCAGGGAAGTTTTCTGCCAGCAAACCTTCAATAATTCTTTCTGTATTTTCTGTTATCCCCGCTGTTCTGGTACTGCAATCACTCGTAGGTTATTTCTCTTGTTAGAATCCCACATAATTATTAGGTTTCTTCATTTTTTTGTAATCCTTTTATTTGATTTTTCCTCACATAAGTTTGAGTCAAGTGCTTTATCTTCAATCTCACTACTTCTGACTTCCATTGCCTCAATTTTGCTCTGATGACTTTCTACTGGGTTGTGTAATTCTGACATTTTATTGTTAATCTTCTGGATTTCTGATTGCTGTCTCTCTACGGATTCCTGCAGCCTGTTATATTTGTCATTATGCTCTTTTCTAATCTTCTTAAATTCCTCTATTGCTTTGTCTGTGTTTTTCATGATTTCCTTCCTGATCTCTTGAAGAGTTCTGTATATTAATCTTTTGTATTCTGCCTCTGGTAATTCCAAGAAATTCTCTTCCTCCTGAGATTTTCTTGATTCTTTATTTTGGAAGCTTGCTGAAGCCATCATAGTCTTCCTCTTTATGTGATTTGATATTGACTGTTGTCTCTGAGACAACAGTAAGTTATTATATTTATTTATTTTATGTTTGCTTACTTGTCCTAGCTTCTTGTTTTGTTTTGTTTTGATATGCCCAGATAGGCTGCTCATGTGAACTAGCCCACTCACCAGCAACCCTGAAGCTCCAATGTCCTTCCAGCAGGTGGCCAGAACTGCCATTAAGTATGTGAGCCCAGGAGTCTGCCCATTCCTCCTGTATGTATTCAGCTCAGATGTCCAGGTAGTTGGCCACCAAGTGTGTGGTGCCCATTCTCATCTACAGTCCTAGACCAGCATGGGTGATTGGTGTAGTCACAGGCATCCAGCTGCAGCAGGGGAACACATGCTGACAAAGGCAGGGGGCCGATGGCCGCCTCCGAGTGTCCAGGAGGAAAGCATGTCCCTGTTCCCTAGAGTGTGCAGGTGGGTGGGTTTTGCAACCAGACTATGAGCACCCAGTGCGTTGTCTGTAAGGACTGGGGGAGCATCTCTTATTCTTGGGCCCCTGTCTCAGGTGGCTAAGTGGTGTGGGTGGGGCCACCAGTCCTCAGGCCCCTGATGTGGGTAGGTGAAGACCCTGCTTAATGGGCAGAGCCGTGTCAAATGTCTCGAACCTGCCACTTCACAGCTGTTACAGTTGAAGTTAGACTTCAGGTATATATCCTGTTGTACTGCAGTAATGAAAGCCTACACTGTTGAACTGGGTGAACACAAGTCTATGCAGGGAGAAAGGCACTCAAAGTCCGTGGATCCCTTATGCCTGTGCCTAGGCAAAGGGGCTGTGCCTATCTTGAATTCCTGGCTTAGGGGAACAGATTATTTTTTCCCCTGTTTGTTAATTTGTTCACTCTCCAAGGCCAGGAGAATGGCTCAGGGCGTGTGACGGGTCCTACTTCCGGCCCAGGGGACTAAGCAATTGCTGAAGCCAGTCCCAGAACCAGTGCAGAGCAGGAAGTGGGGAGGTAAATTAGAGAGAGGTTTTTCCCAAAGAGGGCTGTTTTTGATCCACATCGTAGGCCAGACACAGGTACTTATCTTTTGCCAGTCAAGGGCTGCTTCTCACTGATTCTGGCTGTCCAAGTAGACTCTCTGCTGCTGGGTCTCTCCTGACATGGAAAACACCTCCCGAGCGTGGCTGCTTGTCTGCCTCACCACGGACCAGGAGCTGATCAGGCCTGAAGGGCTCAGGCTCCTGCAGTGTCAGGTCTGGCAACTCCTCGCTGCTTCTGAACCGTCTCCCCTCCCCCTGCCACTCAGTCTGATTCTGCAACTTTGCCTTTAATGTTTAGGGCCCCTAGATTGTCATATATAATAGATTCACTTGTTTTTTTTTTTTTGGATCTTTGTTGTTAGAGGGAACACAGGAAGTGTCTGACTACTCTGCCATCTTAGCCCCACTCCAGCTCACATTTCTTTGTTTTTAAATGGTGTATTATTATCTGCAACTATTTTTAAACATTTATCAGTAAAATGAAATGGTACACTTAACACTAAAAATAATATGAAGAAAGAAATGGTACTGAACCAGTGTTATTAATTTGATCTGAATACATGCTACTTGAGATAGTTTACTATGTGTATTTAGACCAAATATTTAGAATTTTTATTTGGTTGGGAAAATCCAGGGATTTTTGTTTTTCTCCTTGATTTTGAATGTAGAGTTAACATTATTAAAATGATATTTTGCTGTAACATTTTTATATATCCATTTGATTCAGTTGAGATTTACCTTGGATAATACAAAATAGTTTATTCACCTTAAATAGATCAGTATTTTCAAGAATGAGAACATAGTTTTCTATATTAGTTAATCTGATTTTAATATTAAACCCAGAAAGTATTATTGTTTACTGGATATAAGCTTAATGATGAAAGCAAGCTAATTATGTAATTTAGGAAAACCATCATTAGCTTTCTTTATGATAATATATCACATGGTAAATAAATACCTTGAAAGGATTAGGAACTCCGCCTAATAGAATCCAAATCAGTATTAAACTTACAAGAAGGCACAAAAATTAATAATATCCAACAAGAAATTCCATTCAATGAAAAAAAGCCTTAAAAGATATCAATTTAGCAAAAGAGGTAAGTTAAGAAAAACAGGAAAGGATGTGGGAATAAAAGCAATATCCAAATAAATCAAAACAAAAGCCTAAATACTTATTTATTTAAGCAAATAATTTAGACCTTAGTTATTTGTATATCAGAAAGGGCATTCTGTTAGCCTAAACTTAGGTATTTCATTTCTATTTAAAAATATGCGATTAATTTTTACAACATTTCTTTTGTCATACCAAGACTTGTATATATAAAGAACTACCTCTATGCTATTAAGGAAGTGTTCATTGAGCAATAAAACTTGAAGCATATTAAAATATTAACTTGATTACATAGCTCAAGAGATGCCTCTGTAGGTATAGTTGCCAAAATGTGAACTTTTTAAAAGTGCCCCCATCAATTATTTCTCATTCTTCACTGATGAAAAAAAGGTCCATAACAATCAGGACATGCCTTTATATTCATTATCTGGTTTATTTCTTATAAGAATCTTTTGATTTCATCTCCATTTTGCAGCTCAGGCTCACAGAGTTAAGTAAATTCAACTAAGTTCTTCAACTAAATCTCAAATCCATTTCCAGCAACTTAAAATCTACTTGTTTTTCCAGGGTTCTGCAATGCCCTCTTGTGCTTCTATCATTTTTTTTTTCCAGAAAGACCCAGTGAGCTCTCCAGAAAATTTAGAGGAAAAAAAGTTTACTGGAGAGGGCTCCATACCAAGTCCTAAAGCCAAACTCCATGCAAGAGATCTCAAAAAAGAACTAATCAGGTAAGTGTTGTTCAATGATGTACCCTGTAAGATTCTGCAATTAAGAGTCTCAATTTCATACTTTTGAATGATAATACCATATGTAATGATCTCATGCTAAGAGAACTAATTAGAACTAATCAATCTAGTTTATTGAAACACAATATAGTATCTATCAAAAGATGAATGGATAAACAAAACACGGAACATACATACAATGGAATATTATTCAGCCATAAAGAAAAAAGGAATTCTGATACATGCTAAGACATGGATGAAACTTAAAAACATTATGCTGAGCGAAATAAGTTAGTCACAAAAGGACAAATATTGCATGGTTCCACTCATATGAAATATCTAGAGTAAGCAAAAGTATAGAGACAAAAGTATATTAGTGGTTACCAGGTGTTGGGAGAAGGGGAGGAAAGGGAATCATAGCTGAAGGGCATGGAGTTTCTGTTTGGGATCATGAAAACCATTTGGAAATGGATAGTGGGGACGGTAGCATAACATGATGAATATAATTATTGCCACTGAATTGTGCACTGAAAAGGGTTAAAATGGGAAAATTTTTGAATAATTTATTTTATTTATTTGTTGTTGAGAATATAGATAGCAGAACACATACTAATTCAAAAATTCCTACATATACATTTCAGTGACATTGATTACATTCTTCAAATTGTACAGCCATTCTCACCCTCCTCTTCTGAGTTGTTCCTCCCACATTGAAATAAATTCACTGCCCCCTAAGTTTCCTATCTGATCTTTCAAGTTGCTATTGCCAATTTGATACCTGTAGATAGATCCTAAAAGAGCACAATGCTCAAGACAGACATTCTTTACTAGTTAAGCTAGAGAATTGTTTGGCTTTAAGAAGATTTCAGGGGATATTTTTGGTTTAAATTTAAAGATTACCTCAGGGAAATAGTTTTGAGGGTTCATCCTGCCACCATGGCTCCAGAAATTCTGGGTTTCATGAGAATTTGAAATTTTGTTCTGTAT